CCAAATGACAAAAAACAAAAAAACAATAGCAACATTGTTTATTAGTATTTTGGGGAACACAGTATTTTGTATACATGGTGACTATACTGGTTAGATTCATTCTATGTGGATGGAACTGTGACTTAAAATATGGAAAGCTGGAAAGAAATTCCCTCAATGTCACATCGCTGAAATCACTCTGAAATTATATCTTCAGTGTAATTGAAAAATATTTATTTATTTAAAAATGTTGATACTTAAATAAAAAAATATTTCTGAGCGGCAGACTACGTTGTCATGTGAGTTAAATATTTTTGGTCTTTGCGCAGCACTGAGAGCGCACAGCGGCGCGCGTAAATTCTCGTTAATATTAGAAGTTTGGACATGAAATCATATTAACAAAGATGCTGTGAGAAGACAATCAGATGACGGTAAAAACTGTGTGATAGTCTTTGGTCAAATGTTACAATGAAATGCATCTCCACACATATAAACTCTCCCTGGCTGCGCTGTATGTGGAAACGTGTGCAGTCCATCATTTCAGACGTAGGACTCAAATTCTTTTGCAAATTAAAATATGTATTTTAATATTCTCCTACACGAAGGTAAAGCTGCTGTGCGTAAGGGGTGTTTGGTGTTCAGGCTATGAGGAGAAGACAAAAAAAAAGTGATTGACAAGGTTCATTATTTTTGCTCAAAGGGCCCAAAAGAAATTGGGAATGACAAAAGTAATTTTCAGCCTTGCACTGCCTCAATAGACCAAATGTGCGTGTGTATCTAGAAGGAGCTCATTAGGCCACATGAGCTGAACTCTATCCTGGACGAGTAAATCAAATGCTCAATAATCTTTATCACTTAGAGGTGATAAAGACATTGTTATGGGGGCCCTTTATGTGCTTTCCCTGGGGGACACTCAACCCAGATATCACTGCCTGGCACTTTGGGGCCCCTTTCAAGTTTCATCCCAGCTGAAATGATCCGTCTCGTGTGACTGAGTTAATAATCACTGTGGGTGTATAATGGTGGACCAGGAGTGTGCATATCTTAAGATATTGATCTAACATGAACATAAATGAGGAAAAGACACAGTTTGGTGTCCATGACCCATATTGTTCTTTTTGTTGACGCACCAGTGTTGGCAAGTTTATTGTCGTTTTTATGAGCTCCAGGTGGGGTTTAGACCTAATAAAAGCCTCTTCAACTCAGCCAATATTAATCCTAAATAAAAAAAAACATAATTAGTCACTAGCATATAATGTGACTTTTATGGCAAATCATTTAATGTACAAAATAAAATAATATGCCAAGTCAAATAATACACAGCATCCTCAAATATAAATCCACACATTTAGGACTTATGTATTCTATTCTGGTTTGAATTAGTGTAAAAAGAGTATATTTATATTTATACTTAAGTTAAACATATATCATCTGATCACTGAAACATCTCCAAAAAGACCAGACCAGGCGTTTAGCTTATAGTTCCAGTTTTATTCGCCTCTTTTACGCACCGCTTCAGCTGCTCTCTGACTGAAGCTTTGGCTCTCAAATGTATATTTCTTATGTTGAATAGGCTTTAAATAATATCTGCTTCCTTAGAAACGTATCTCTGGACTTTTTTAAAGGGAGTAAAAACGGTTCTTAAATTGCGTACAGCACATTATCTGCATCAGTGTGCCTTTTTTGGATGTGAAGTTTCACTTGTAAACTTTCATTTAATTGTTCACTTAACCATTTTAACAAAACTCTAATATTTGCATTTGTTAAGATATGGGATTAGACTATTTTGTTAATTGCACCAAAGAGCCCCATTTTGCTCACAACGTCCTCTGCAAAGCGCCCTTTATCCATTCAATAGCCCGGGGGTATGCGCCCTGGGGGAGCTTATACGCTCGGTGCTCCAAATGCTCAATTTATTTATTCTTAATTTTGTGCCGATCAATTCATTGAAGCAAAAAGGACTACGGTGTCTTTTTAAAAAGAAGAAAAGGGAATTGTGGACGTAACCTTGACGGAGCTGAGGAGAGGGCTCCCCTGACGCTGGAGAGCCGCTTGAGTCAACAGGCGCCCATCTAGCAGACTCGCCCTTGTCTTTATTCTGGCTAATTTTTTATTTACGGCTTTTCTTTGACATGTCTCTTATCTATCAGATTAAAAGAACAGCTTGTAACAAATCAGTCTGCACGATTTACAACAGCATTAAAAGGGGACAAAGGGAGCAGGCAGTCAGTACCTGAGAGTCTGGTAGACGGCGCGGCGCTGCAGCTGATTCGATGGTTTGAAAATACGCACGAAACAAAATACTTGAATCCTGAAAAAGAGCCTTTGTACGTTTCTTTAGAAATCAAGCAATTCTGCATGACAAAGGACAATTAATAAGCCGTCTTTTCACGACCAGCAGCTGGTTTCCCCGTCAAGGAAAGTTGGAAAAAATTCAGACTGAATGCGCGCAAAAGCCCTTTGCGCGCAGACAGCAACCCAAGGTGACCCATTTGGCACAGTTAAAATAACCAAGCCGAGGTAAAAGCGAGGGAACTGTCAAAAACATTTAAGCTGAAATATCTTGAAATTGCAAATCCCTTTATGTGGAGGGACGCTGCCGATGTGGGTTAGTCGTACAAAGGAGGTGGTTAAGTTGGAGAGGCTTTGGAAACGGACACGTGGCTTCTCAATGAGAGCTCTTTTGGACCCGCGTGGCTTGCTGTGGCACTGCACATTCAACTACTTTAAACTTATCCAGCTTAGTAAATGTGTGTAGTAAACCTAAGATGTTAACCTGTTAACTTTAACAAAACTGTTAATAAACTTTTAAACACTTTAGTACATTTATAACCTGTTTGTTTACTCACTTTTAAGAGACAAACGCCTGCTGCTCCAGGCTTCCAGTCTGGTTTGTAAATGTCGAGTACTGAGTTATTGTTGGAGGAGAGGAGACTATTCTCAAGAGGATGTTTTCTTTAACACTCATTTAATGATTTAATGCACTTTTATCTTCACATTTATTTCTATATAGTGTTTGGTGGCGTTTTTTATTTTGCGTACAGCTGTTTTTCGCAAAATAATAATGTCTAGTGGAAGGAAACATATTACTGATGCACATATAAACGTGTGTTTGTATGAACTGAAGAAGTCTTTACTTTTACATTAACACGGGGAAGGCAATTTAGAATATTAATTCGGTTTATTATCTGTATAAGTGGTATTTTCTTGTATATTTTGGTGCAGCTTCATCCAAACAATCCCACCTGCATCGATGGACTGAAACAGTTTCAGTTGCTCTCGACGTTTATTTCAAAATGACTGCGGTTAAAGTGGCAAAAATGGAACAGCAACATGTTTCATTATGGAGCTGTTAGAGGTGACAATGTGTGTTCAGCCGGCTGAAGTGGCAGGGAAGGAAACCGCTCGCCATTGCCTTGAACTCCGACTGTTTTCTGCTGCAACATTTGAACCCATTCAGCTGTATATAATCTGTTTAACAGCTAATCAGTAGTGTAAGATGAGGGACTGGCACGCAGCTTCACTTTTCCTCTGTTGCCCCCCTCTCTAATTGAATATTCAACGCGCGCACCGCGCTCTGCTTGCCTTTTTCAGGGTGCTGAGAATGCGCCTTTTTAATTCTCGGCCCATACACAAGCAGTGTCAAAGGTCGGGAAATAATGAACTGTGCAGACATGGAAGTGACCTCTGCGGGCGCCAAAAGGAATGCTTCTGAATGGGATTTTGGTCACAAATATTAAATATGACTTTTGGATAAAATTACAGTGGACTTTTTCTACCATCGTTTGACTACTGTCACCATGGGAACATGAATATTAGACTGCCAAGACTAGAAAGCTGGAAATAAGAAGCTACCAGGTCACTGGGGTAGTAAAGAAGACTAAATGTGTTGGGACTGTTGTAAGTATGTGAAAAATTGTTATATGTAATAAAAAAAATTAGAGACACATATAATATTTCTTGCTCTGTATTAGTGGACTGTTTCCAGTTTAAAACAAACACTTGTTGTGCTTGTGCACCACTTTTGAGTGCTATCCAGCCTAATGCATTGTGTTATTGTGTATTTTAGCAACCAGCAGACATGTGCTTTATGCAGCTGAATGACCCTGTAATGTGGCAGGGATTTGACTCTACTGTGGTTTTGCAGTATGGAACCACGCAGTGTAAAGTCAAGGTTTATTTTGAAAAGGAGGACATAGAGGCCAGTGCAAGTGTCTTTGGTGAAGGCAAACTACGCGCACAACCCACGCGTACACGCGCACTCTCACACACAAACACACAGGCTCAAAACATATTGGAGCAGGGTTGGCAGAGCGGTGATGTTTTTTTTTGTCTGCAGATAAAGATGAGTGTCCCTTTCTCGGCCACAGTGTATGAGGAGTATTTGGAGCACTTTATTTACCTATAGCAGACTTTCACCGCTTTCAGCAGGCCTGTCTGTCTGTTTATCTGCTCGCTCAGATGTGCAATGTGGAGCAGGAGCGTCATCTGGTGGCAAAGACCAGAGCCAGTTTTTTAACATGGAACTGCACAACCATGCTTTTTACAGAAGAACCAATTTTATGAAGAGTTAAAAGCAACTTTTTTCTCTATATTATTATTTTTGTAAAACAGAGACAAAGAAGCAAGCACGCTGTTATAGGTCTCAACCAGACTACATGTAACTGGGTGCCGAATCACATCTCCGAAGGGCCCCATCGGTCTCGGGGGGCCCCTCCTTGAATGCGCCTCATTCACACAGCAGCACCACGGTCTCCTTTATTTTGCTCCTCTCAGTGAGCTGCTTTATGAAAGACTGTGGGACAGTTATGACATTTTAGACTGTGAGGAAAAAGAGAGGCTCTCCATCTTAAATCATGTTGTTAAACGTAACATATGATATCATAAGTCATCAGACAGTATTTTATTACAATCCTTTGAATACGTATAACTTTGAATGCTGAAGCAATGGTGGGGTGAGTTGGATCTGACCGCTTTACCTGCTTTACACAATGAAAGCCAAATGTTACAGAACCACCGACTGATTTTCAGACATTTTTATTCTCATGACGTTCTGTTGTATCAAAACTCATCAAGTCTCTTATGTACATTACTTAAGGTGCCGTCATCTAATAATGAAGACAAAACTCTCATCTCAAAATTCTCCATTCAGTTGTTTTTCCTATGAGAACATGAATAATTTTCAGTATCAACAAGTATACACAAGTTACAAAACACATTAAAAAAAACCACATATATATATCTCACTTTGAATAAAACACTGTAGTCATTCATCCAGTCCATCCAAACTACAGTATATAGAAACACTGTGTCACACCTCAATAACAACTGCATCCTTAAAAAATACACTGTAACCTCCTTAAACATCTGAACAATGTTCGGGGCTGCTCACCCACAAGTAGCACAAAAGGTAAATACATCAGATCCCGTGTTTGTAAAATTAAGACAAAAACTTGGAGATACCGTCAAAGCACCATCAAAGCTCAAACACACTGAATACAGTCAGTGTGCACACAGTCAACCTCCAGTTTACTTTTTATAACATGAGATTTACTCTTTACTACAATGCAGGTTCTCATTACTGTCAGAAACCCAAATGCCATAAAACACAAAGCAATTACAGAAAATAAAGATACATATGAATTAAAGTCCTTCTGTGGGTAAATACTCTTTATTAAGTTTGTGATATATTTAAATCAAAAAAGAGATTTTCCTTTTAAATATTAGTTTAAAAAAGAAATCACATTGACATCAGCTTATCACAGAGCCGATAGCTACATACAGTATATTTTAGTAAGTATCAAGTTTGTTAATAAAAGAATAAATAAACACGTCTTCATGTACATGATCAAATTATGGCTGTTAAACTGTTTAACAGATCAATTGTCAGTTCTTCAGTTTAGCATTTTATTTTTTGGTAACCTTCACTGTGCACTTCCTGTACTCAGAGTTTAATGTTTGAGGATAAGTTCGGTTCAGACATGATTATTTATGTGAAGAGGTTGTAATCTGACACAGTATGGATTCTGGTTGTTGAAAGTTGGGAAATTCAAATAATTCAACTATGTCATCATCATTACACACATTAGGTGTGTTTGTTTCTTTAAAATTACATTTCTGGTTACATTTTTGTCCAAATTCCCAGTGACCATCACAAACTATTTTGCTTCAATGAAACCTGGAAGAAAGTTATTTTAGAAAGAGAGGATGAAAAGGGATCATATTAAAACAACAAATCCATGTGAATTAACAACAACAACAACAAAAAAACGTAAGGTCCACTTACTAGCCTTTTAAATTTCAACTGCATCTCACACACTGTAACTTGACATGAGTATGAAACTAACTTTTAAAACTGTTTCCTTTATTGACCTCAGTAGAGCTGAAACACTTTCAACCAGGTATCACGCCAAAGCACTGGTCCACCGTGGCAGTGTCACATTTTCAACACGTCAGGTTAGCAATAATAAATATGCAATAAATGTCCAGTTACACTTTCAGAATAAAGCTTGCAGAGGTTGTAGTTTGGTTACGTTTAGGCACCAAAAGTACTTGGTTAGACTCAGGAAAAGATCATATGTTAAGTTATGTACCTGATGTAAATTAACTTACTACGTACGTAACTTAAAAGACATCAGAATTGACTTTTGGTTTCACACAATACTTGAACAATGGCCTGTTGGGTCAAAGTCCTGTCCATCCAGCCTGACCTCCTCCCTACGTGGACTCCTTATACTGCACCATCATGCATGTGTGTACTTTTACTTGGTGAGGTAAAACGTGACACTGGCACGCTATCCTCTAGTGGATCAGTGGGTCTATTACACACTTTGGCGTGAGACTGGGTCGAAAGATTAGTCAATTAATAGATCGGTCTATTGGTTTTTACTATTTTCTGATATTTTATAGACCAAACAATTAATCGATTAATCGAGAAAATAATCAGCAGATTGATGGATAATGTTAAAAATCATTAGTTGCAGGACCGGATCTCAGTCAAGCTTAAATGGCTTTCACATACGTCATGGCTTCTTTAGCTCTTTCTCAAATACATAAAGGTTTTATTAAAAAAGAGAATACTGTATCTATTTACATACGCAGTCAGAGTCAGTGACTGTACCTCCAGTCACTCAATCTGCCTGTGGCTCCTGCTGTCAAATATCATCGATCTCCTCTGCGGCTGGTAGAAGCAGCTGGTTGACGTTTCCAGTCTCTGTCCACTTTTTGGAATAGTCATTTTGTTTTGAAGAGCGATCCCGTCCGGTGTCCTGAAATTCTCCGCCATCTCTTTAGAAAAGACGTTCACTGCTGACGTGTCATTCAGGTTCTTGATGGATGACAGGAGCTTACTGTCGTCTCCTGACGGCGGGTAGTCCATGATGGGGAAAGGAGGGCTGAGCAGGATGAGACTTTGAGGTCTCTGCCTGTTCCTAAAAGAGGGTCTTTGTAAGATGTTCCCTCTGTTAGGCCTGGGACAGTCTACAAACACTTCCAGACTGGGCGCATGTCTCCTGGTTATGACTGGCAGCTCTGGAGTAGATGTGGTCCTCACAGACTCGGCACATTTTTCAGCATTCGGGTGTTTTTGATGTTCGGGTCCAGGCTCTTTATTCTCCAGCTCCTCCTTTAGATCTGACATCATCGGAGGAGGTGCGCTGTTGCTTTTCTCTGCGATCATTTTAGGATATTCCTTTTCCTGTTCCTTCACTGCGTCGAAATCATTCTCGGGTCTGGAGTGAGGTATCTGACTGTACTGCACCTTCGGAGGGACGACGGGCACAGCTTTGGCCTGGCATGTTTTTATCATGAAGGCTGTTCGCACCGATGACACGCTGACTGGGGCTGAATTTCGGCGTAGAGGTGCCTGCCGATCACTCAGAAACAACTCCAGCTCTGAGGACAGTCCGTTGTTTCCAGTTCCAGATGAGGTCAGTAACCCTCGCTGACAAGAGGAAAACTCTGATGAATTACGGTTCTGCTGATTAGAAATGTCTCTGATGCACCGTTGCCCCAGGTCTAAATTCAGTGAATATGGTCTGTTTCTAGAAAAATAATTCTCCTCTCTTTTCTCCGAAGCAGCTGCCTCATAAGACATCTGTCGGTAAAACCTCTGAGATGATGCTGTATTCTTCTGTTTTGTTGTGCTGCATCTTCCTGTGTGAGGTTGCGTTGTGTTGTTGCTGTTCACACTGACCCGTGTAGGTATTGATGGCAAAGGCATCCATTTAGTTTCTGGTTTACTGCTGGTAGACTGAGGAATGTTTCCTGAGTGGTGTTCGGTGCTCTTAATGAGAGACTGTTTGTTATTATCAACTGAAGGAGATGAAATCTTTCCCTCCTCCAAGCTCGGATTTTCCCCACGAGAGCTGAAGGGTGACAGTTGGTTGAACAGCTCCTCCACGTCAGGTGAGTGGAGAGGACTGGTTACCCACTGCTTGGTGGAGCTAAGATCCTCCCAAGGCTCCACCAAGTCCAGGTCCTCTGAGTGTCCTCCACATCCTTCATCGTGGTCAAGGTGTGGCAGCTCCAAGGTGTTACGTCTCTCCTCCAAACACACTGACAACTTCTGAATCAATTCCACCTCAGGAATCACATTCTTTGCTCCTTCACAGGAGACATTTTTGACTCCTGGAGGAATTTCACGTTTCTCTGTTTTTTTGTCGGTATCATCTGCTCCTGAGAAGACTTCAACCGTTGGATTATCCTCTATCGTCAAAGGATCCATAACTTTATCTAAACAGGTTTCCTTTAAAGGGCGTTGGGAATTGTTGGTGGAAGCTGGGTCACCTTTGTTTAAAGGCGTGATTTTCAGACGCAGCTTCTTCTCTTTCTCATCCACCATGTCAGCAGTGTTTTTGTGAAGTGAAAACAAGATGTCTGACTCTGAGGGCTGTTTCTTTGCAGAGTCTGATCCAGTGGTGATAACATGATCACTCAGAGAGGTATTTGACGACTGCTCCCTAAATAACAAAGACAGAGACGGAGAACTGCGGCTTCGTTTTGACTTGACGTCCATCGTCAACTTCCTGACCTCACATGTGCTCTTGGAGTCAAAAACAGGTTTAAAAGTCTCATCCAGCAGGTCAATTTCAGGTTCAGTTATCTTCAGTTCTTGGTGGAGGTCTGACCACATCTGTTTCCCTGTAGAAGATCTCTTTTCCTGGGAAAGTATGAATGGTAAACAAACAAAAACAGAAAGGATTAAATATATCCAAAACGATTCCACCGTTCATCTCTAAGACAAAAAAACATAAACAAACTATGTGCTAGTTTAAGCCAAAGGTATGTGGCCAAAATATCTGAGCTGTATTCAACACTCACGTTACCTTTCTGGAAATTGAATAACAGGGAGGAAAGAGAAACTATGAATCCTGGGATTCAGAATACAATGCTAATAGTCTCACCTGTAAATCCCAGTAATCTGACTTAATTTGAAGGTTACAAGTAAACGGACCAGTGATAAACATGAAGGAAGATGCAAGTATCCAAATATTGCTGCCATGTGGTCTTCTATTTGCTGACCTTTAGTCTTTAACTACGTGTTTTTTTATCTTCTTATCTTAATTTGATGGTAAAAACTTAAGCCATTAGGAAAGATAATGTAATACTGCCATAGTGCAAGCACAACTAACTACATGATTTACCAGTTGCATAGCTGTGGGCTGGTTGGGCAGTTCTTTCCCAGGAGATGGCGCTGCATCTTTGCCTTCTCTTGCATTTGCAAGGGACGGTGGTTCCAGCTCAGAAATATTCATCCCTCCTTGACCTTCTTGCACCACCTCTTTGCTTGTATCTAAATTTTTAAAAAAGAGTAGTTTTTTCATTACATCCTATTACACATATATGACTTTGACAATTTACAAAACAAGCCATTTTAAAATGTGATGAAGGAAGATGTCCTCACCCTCTTGCGGGACTCTAGAGGTCGGCACCTCTGTGTTTTTCTTCTCTGTTCCTTCCTGCTTCTTGGGTTCCAGTTGGGGGAAAGTGTTGCTCTTTCCACTGTTGCTGCTCTGCTCTGAGCTCTCTTTGCAGGGTTTCAGAGTAGCTGCTTTGTCCTTGGCGTGCCCCCTGCATGGCGTGCTGTTGGAGCTGATAACGGCTGACACTCGCAGAGGTACAGACACGGCAAAGGGCTCAGATATGTTAACAGCCCTGCGCTGATGCCTTGGTGAGGACTCCAGCGGGAAGAAGCTTCCTGGGAAGGAGGGCCGAGAGGAGCTGTTGGAGGAACCTGAGTACAACATCCTCCTGTTTTTTGGAGAGGTGGGCTTGTAGCCGCTGAGGTCATCACCTTTGAACACCTTCAGTTGTTCTGGCAGTGTTTTTTGAGGGGGTGCAGAGGCACCTGGTGACCCCCTTTGGTTCATGCTAGAGCTCCAGCCACCTGTTGCCCCATCAGCTTTGTTCCCTTTAAAGTCCCAGTTTTGGTCGTGTTCGCTCAGGTCGTAGAGCGAGTCGGATCCCAGCGTTCTGGATTTCACATCTGGAACGAAAATGCTACCAGCTGGACTGTTGTTTCCTGTTCTGTCATCATCTGCGCAGCAACAATAACATAAGGGAAAAAATATCAGTTCACAGTAACAGATGCAACATCACCAAACGAGGCAAGGACAACAAAGTTTGCAGTTTTCATCACATTCCTTTTTCTCTGTGTTTAAATGAATATATGTAGGTCTTAGCCCCACCTGTTGGTAAAGAGCACAAGGACTCCATGCTCCTGGAAGGACGAAGAGCTGCCTTTTCTGTAGGAAAAATAACAATAAACAATAATATTATCACTCAAAATATTTGAAATGTCTGGAGGATGTAAAAAAAAAAAGTTAAAAGTTAAAGCTCAAAAAAAGAAAGCTTTTTAACTAAAATGCAATTTTTCCCTCACAGAATCATTTTCATATGCCTGAAGAGGTGACACTGTGTAGTATTTCACAATAAAAAAGCGAAAGCAAAAAGCAAATATTAGAGAAAACCTTAAAAAGTAAGTATAACTTTGTGAGGCTGAATTAATTTTTTTCGGGTTTCCTGCTCCAGGAATGACCTCATCACCGCTCTCATTCTCTTGGGAACACCAAGCTCTAAGAGCTACTATTCCTGTGTCCTTTAATAATAATCTTTCTGTTTATACATGATAATGCTGCACATCTGTCTTCCTGTTGTTTGGCTTGGGAAGTGAGTTGTCTGTGTTCAAATTGGACATTTTACCTGTTATCCCAGGTCCTCTTATGAACACACTGCCGTTCCGGCTCAGTTTTCCCTTCGAGTCCACAGACCGTCCCAGATTAAAGATGGACTTCCACTTCTTCGATTTCCCAGAAAACTTCCTCCTAACAGAAAAACAGAGATTGTTAAGCCCAGTGCTATTCAACAGCTTGTTTTGACAGTAATAAGTGAATCAACACTCAAAGCACACTCTTTGTAAATGATACTAATAATGGCTTAGTGCACTGAATCTGTCATACTTGCTCTCTACGTCTATGACGGTGTGGTAGAGTGTGGCGGTGCTGGTATCAGGCAAGCTGTTCTCCCGCTGACGTTCTCTATGCACAGGATGGTTTGGACTTAAGGAGCGGGCCTGGGCTTCTTCCAGACTCATCAGTTTCATCGGCCCACACTGGCCACTGATCGGCAGCGTGGCATACTTCTCCCCACACATCAGACTCGGTCCTGGTGGATCAATAGTGAATTAGCAAATAAATCCTTAAGCCCAACAAATCTCCCACTAAAGAATCTGTTTGTATTTCTTTAATGTCATACCTTCTTTGGGTTTGATTTGCTTAGAATCGTTGCTGAAGATCTGCTCTGTGTGGTTTAGAATAAACTCAACCACTGACTGTTGTATCCGCACCTCCTGGAAAGCCATGTCTCCATTACCTGATGATGACTCAATGTCTTTAGATCTGAGAAAAATAACAGGTGAAAGTAAGAAATGTTGAAATCCTTGGAATTTAATTTATTTCCAAAAAAAGGTACAGAAATTCTTGCATGTAACAAAAAAAAGTCTGTTAATCCAAACTCACCTTAATAGATTTGGAGCCCAGACCAGGGCCAGGTTACGTGTATGCATGTTCGTCTGGGTGCTTAAGGTGGCAAGGTGGGCCAAGTGCTTTGTGAGGTACTCCAGAGTCCTGAGGAGAGCCAACAAACACTTCCTGTCACATTTATTACAACATCATTCATAAAACAGGACTGTCAGTTGTACAATCGTCTTTACTGCTGAGAGTGAAAAAAGGCCTGAAGCTCACCTGAAGTGAGGCGTCGGCAGTTCTTTGATGACACTCTGAATGTGTAAAAGTCTCTCATGATTCCCCTGGACCGAGACCACTTCCTGCATATCAAACAGACAGATGTTCATATCAAAAGAATTTACATCTGAGGTTAGTAAAAATAAAATATTTGTATGCTTGATCCCTGTGCCTTGCTAGTGTCACATTTATTAATTGTCAGCTCATGGTTATGGTTTAGAAAACGGTCTAATTTACCTGTATCTGTTGCTACTTAACCCCAAATATGAATTGAATTCTTGTGCTCGTGGTCTCTGCAGCACTCTTGAAATTCTGATCATCTTTAATTCGATTACCAGTGGATCAATGTGTTGATGAACTGTTGGGTAAAGCTATGATCCTCCTGCATGGCCCTGCAGGCTTCCACCTAACCTCCTAACCCAGTTATCCCTGCTAAACAAATGTAAACAGACATGCTGGAGTGCGTGCAGTCTAACTCATGTGACTGAGGCCCAAACAGCTGAGCATGTTAGCCTGCATTTGTTAGTCATGGGTGAGGTCGTAAACATGTGTTGTTGTTAAAACGTGCTCTTGGGCAGTCTTGTGCTATTAGGTCTAATGGCCGAAACCCTTCAAGATGACACATTACATTACAACAGGTGTGAAAATTAAAAGGGTTTTAAATCAATAATACACACAACATCAAGCACTCGACCGGTCTAAAAATGTATAGACCTTGCTCAGTTGTCATGTTGTTCATTCCTCCCAAAACAATTTGATGAGAACGTTCTTTGATATGTTTTTTTTAATATTAAGCCATGTGTGGAACTGTTTTTTACTGAAGTAGTGGAATTTTTGAGGCACGAGCGGCACAAGATGTATGAATGCCAAGGTATGCAAATGTCTCGTCAAGGTACACAGAAAGCTACACAGAGAGCCCAAACCAGGTCTTACAGTTTGGTATTCCTGTTCCCTTCTCTCCTGCTCCTCTCTAAAGTCCCTTTCACATCTGCAGTAAATCCAGAAAATGCAGCCACAAAGCTTCTCTCTGGTACTAAATGTAAAGATCGTGTCACCCCAATTTTTTATTTATTCTAGTGTTTGCTCTTCCATCATTACAAACCCTCCCTGTGATCTAAAAGGTCCAAAGTCATCTTTAAATCAAGCTCTTCAATAAATCAGAGCACATTTTATTTGCTAGAACGGCCTGGCAACAGTGTCACACACAAAAAACAGAAAGATCAATACACACGTGAAAGATAAAACCGATCTCATACAATCAGCAGTTTATGCAGGGACCTCCTTTTATGAGTATAAAGCAGCAAAACTACTTTTAACAGAGGAGATGTTGAATGATAATAAGTCATACTGAGGTAACATGAATGTTACCTCAGTATGACTTACTTATGTAACATACTGTAATACATAATTTGCTGATCAATAGTGAGCCAGAGAGATGAGGTCACACTCATGAAACATGATAATAAATAGTGCTGACACATACAGAGGGACCATGTGGAGTAAATACTGCTTATTGATGTCTAGTGTTGGGGTTGCAATTCTGTCTGTTACAAATTACCGCTGTCGGACCTCTTCTAGGCCTTTCTAGGAGACTTTCTTTTTTCCACTTAAGCAAAACTGTAAATGTGATTTGAATGTACTTACAGTGAACTTGCTGTATAGCTCATATGTGAGCAGAGGATTGGGTAGCTCCCTGAAGTACAGCTTACATAAGGAACCCACACAGTGGATGTCCTGGAGGTACACTTCCTTTGTAAGGTCAGGGCACGCCTCAGAGCTGAATTCCTGCCTGCATGCGCGCACACACACACACACACACACACACACACACACACACACACACACACACACACACACAAACACACAGTTAGCTGAATGCTTTGATTGTTTAACACCCATGCTAACTACTGTTGCACTATGTAAATTGTTAGATTGGAGTCTAGTCAACTAATATTATAGCAAAAAAAAAGGAAAGAAAACAGCAACAAAGGTGTTAAAGAAGCTCAATAATAATCTGAGAAAACAATATTATTCGAATTCAATATACCAGCCTAATTATATGGGCATGATTTATGATAATATTTGATTATACTGAATTATTTCAGCTCCTCCAAAGAGAAGGTAAACAGTGATTACAGAGAATGTGAATAGAGGTGATAAATACAGTACATACTGTGCTTAATTGTGTTACGTTGTTATGAAATTATTATTTTTATTACCCAATATTTAATATTTTCTTGAGGTTTTTGATGCCTTAGAAACATTAGTACCTGAGACGCTGGATATTTGAGGTGACCCCCGACAGTCTGTAGATCCCGTCCACAATCCCATGCTCCTCAATAAACTCTGCACATTTCTTCAGAACCTGAGGAACTGATGTTAAGAAATCGTGTTAGTCATATACAGTTAGAGAAGCATGAACACATTTATTTACTCCTGTTTCAGCTCTTTTACACCGCACATAAGCGCAGTGGACGGTCATATTGAACCTTAAAAGCAGAAGAAGGAAACAACTGTACATGTAATGCTTCAGAGGTAACAATGCACATAAGGTTGACTTCATGGTAAAGGGTTTGTTCCACTATGTCTGTTTTCTATTCCTTAGGGCCACTGATTGTAGGTGGACTTTGACAGGAAGTTAAAAATGGTTTGTTTGTTTCAGAGGAAGGTTGACACACCCAGTCCTTGTAGCTGGTATTACTTACGACATTTCCTCTAATAGAAAACGGCTTTTGAAATGTTACCACTGACCTACAGTACACAGCTCTCTGAACCAGTACATCACCTTCTGTGTACAACTGTGTTTGGCTTTAAAACAAATGAGAACAAACAGATTATACTGCGGCTTTAGAGCTAAATCACATGCTCTGATTCAGCATGACCACAACTTCCCTTTAGCTAATACCGAAAATGATAATTGATTGAAAATCAGGATTTGGGTTTCCAGTATTTCAGGTTAAAAGAAGATATTCCCATGTGAAAATCAAGAATTAATATCACATAATTAGTCTTTCATAGATTAAAAAAATATGTGTAAAAACTTTTTTTTTACAACATTGTTTGGCGAGTTTCTTGCAAAAAAAATCCACCCTCCAAAAAATGAAAGGATAAACTCAGGAATGGTTAATTTTTCAGTAATCACAGCGGACACCAAGAATCTGCTATTTAAATTCTCATCTCTTTGACTTAATTGGACTTTCAGTGACATGCCTGTGGTCAAACGCTGGATGATGAACAGCTCTGAAGCCTTAATTTAGTGCCTCTCAGTCTCTTCACTGAGGGAAGATTTCTGCTTCTTGTAGACTGGCAACAAAATACAGTTTGATGTTCGACTCATTTACAAAGATACTTTATGTTTACAAAGGAAGTTGAATCAATGCATGAAGTGTGGCGAGGCAAATGTCCAGTTACAGTTTGAGTGAGCCTCAACACAGTCAACAGAGTCAAGTAATTTGTTTCTTCACTAATGTTATATGTCCCATTAAACAGTGAAACTACAGCTGCAGCTCAGTGGTTAGCTTTAAACAACCCTTAAAAGCTCTAGTCTCTCTGTTTTTGTCAGGTTTTATGAACGCAATTACCGTAACATTGTTGCATGTTGACTTTAAAAAGGTTCAGGGCAACACTCCCCTTCTCCAGAGGACATGTTTGGAGGGTTGCTTTTCTAAAATTACTGCGGTTTTACAATGACAACATGACACAAATGTTATAAACAACTCACAGAACTACATAAGCATGACTACTTTTGTCTGCGTGAGACAGAAAATGTGAGTTTCAAACCCTTTTTCCATCCAACGTAGACTTCCAACGTTGAGTTTTTATTAATCACTCCCAACTGCTAATTATTATTTGAGATATGTCAATGTTTAATCTTACAAGCGTGAAGGTTCTCTCATGAATATCAAGAAATTGTGAGAGTATAAGTGTACACCCTTTATTATTGTCAGCTGGGTAAAACAAATAAATTCAGTATAACACTGAGGTGGATTTCCTGTGCAGAGAACACGTGGACATCAGGTACACTTTAATACCCTGCAAAAGGTTTTTGTTGGTCACTATTTCTAAATTTAACATCTTTAACGTCTGTTAGTTTGTCAGTAGCCTCCAGTAGTATTCAGTTACTTTCATTAAAAAGCAAAGTAGTGGAGTAACAATCTAAAAACACAATACATCTCCAGGACGTCCATGACGGAGGGGTACGACCCAAACCTCCTCCCTCACTTCCTGCCCTGAATGCCCCGCCTTACAGAGTGTCCACTCGAACAGGTCTCCCTTACAGTTATCCTCAACACAGCTATTCATATGCCTCTGCACGTGGGAGATTTCTGCTGGTCTTTTTTGACACAACATGCTACTGCCAAAAAAAAACCCAACAACCCACAGATGATGGTTGTAAGAAAGGAGAACAAGACATATGATAAGAAGAAAGATATGGGATAAAGTAATTAAAGAATCCTCTCAAACAACGCTGATCACATATTTGAATATTTGATTATACATTTAGTTTCTATTCTTTTTTCTCATTATTTTCTCCCATCCATAGGCAGCAGCACCGCCCAGTCTTTTGTCAGACACAAAACTAGTCATAGGAACTATAGTCACAGTAGGAAATTGACACAAAAAATCTAAGAGCCACACCCAGAGTCACAAATGACCATTTAATACAGCCAATGGGTGAATGAATGGCCTTACTAAATGTAAAACACATGTATACCTACAATTCATATGTGTGACACACTTTGAACAAAGCCTGTATTTGTTACATAAAGACACTTGTTTTGTCCTTTTTTGTCAACATTTCACCCCATAATGTGCCTGTAAAAGGTTATAGCAGCTATAATAATCTAGGAAATGACTAATTAAGCTCAATTTTCAGCATAAATGTCATACTCTATGTATAAGTCAAGTAACTGTTGGCAGAATCAGTGTGTAGTTTGACGATGGCTGCTTGTAAAGGAGTGTTACATTTCAAAGAAAGCTAAATAAAAAGTTTACCATCTTGTCCTGAATTCTGGAGATGTTCTATCAGGTCACAGCCGAACGCATTTTCACTTCCTTTCTTTTTGGTCTTCTGCTTAGTCCCTTTGTTCTTCATGTGGCTCCAGTTAGTAGTCCAGATAATTAAAACAAACAGATCCTTGGAAGCACAGCGATCGATCCATATGACCCTGAGAAAGGTTGGGTTTGTAGGTCAAAGAACCAGCCACATAGAAATCCCAGCAATCAGCTCCCAAAAGTCTGCATCCGCTCACATTCTGACTAACCACACGGTTGGAGGCTGAGAGCAGAAGTGACGTCACATTTTGAACATTAAGTCCTTTAAATTGTCGTTACTTCAGATGATGAGCAAAGAAAAGACATGGTGTGGCTGCTGCTTTGCCAGGACGTGGCATGCGGCTGCTTTATCTCTGAAGGATTTGCAGAAACAGCATTAGAATCGGTTGGTTTCCTGTTGTTTTTTTACCCCCAGCCAGTCTCTCTCTGCTCCTTTTTTATCTCCTCCTCTTTTCCTTCATTCCACACAGTCTCCCCTTTTCACTGGCTTCACTGTAGCTGAGGAAGCATACATGTACCAAGAGAGGCAAAACCCTTTCAGGAACATTAGTTTTGTTTTTGTTTTTTTATCTGATTTCCACTTTGAGATTTTTCAAATATTCTATGTTTAGAGATGGACTCGTGGCAGTGGTGTGGCAGGGATTTTTTAAATGTTGAGATTGTATAAAGGGGAGGGAAGTGAAGTGAGGGGAGGAGAACAGCTGACTTCTGTTTCTCTCCTGGTTTAGGAATTACTGACCTCTTTCATCCATTTTTTTTTGGTGTGCCCAAACTCGGAGCTAACGGGAAAGCTGCTCTCTGCCTTCCTGAATGCTCCCAATGTATACAATTTCCTGTGCAAAGAGCCCGGGCTCGAAAACAAAAACAGACGGGTTCTGAAGGAAGAGGGAAGTGGGAGGTGACTGAAGTGAGGGCCTGAAGGGCACAGATGGGAAATGGGGGAGATTGGGGGGGGTTGGAGTGAGGAGATGGACGACACACATGGTTCTCGTTACTAACTGCTATGCATTTCATGTTTTTCTTTTTCAAACTGCGCTGCCACTTTATTGCAAAGATATAATGAATGGTTGCATTAAATGTACAGCATTGAGGTTAATACTGTAGAGAAAATCATGTTTTCATCCAGTTACTTCCAGTCTTAAGTTAATGTAATCTAATTACATCCCTGCATTCCCTAGAGAAAGACCATGACAACTCCCTGGGTAGTGATGATATATTCCTCATATTTGTAGCCTTGTCACAGTTTCACATGGAAAATTACAGATCCTAAAACCCAAATCCCATTCCACTGAGGTTTGAAATGTAAACTACTGAACTTTCCCTGAGGAGATATTTTAACATTTAATCTCTTCTTGCAGTATATCTACCCCTGTTGAACCACTAACTACAGTCATTTACTGCATTGGGGACTGTTTTCAAATTAAAATTTGACATAAGAACTGAAGCAAACAGCGTGTCAAATTAGCTTTTACTTGTCTGCTGCAAACTTGGTTTGTCTCTGGAACCACAGAAACCACCAACAGATTATGACAAAGGTGACTGGCATACACTGTAACTGTTTGCAGGCTAAAATATTTTGTTCCCACTGATGACGTGAAAGCAGGTGCCAGTGCTTTTGATGTTTTTGATCTCATACCGCTAATGCAAGATAGAAAGTGTCACAATTGCAGACGTAAACGCAGCTATTATGGTTTCCAATTCACATTTCGGCCTAAAGAGCCCGGTCCCTAAGCACGAACCTGCAGTGTATGTGCATCGCATAACATCTTGATTTTTATTTAGGCGTCCAGGTTAACAGGTTACAGCAGCCACACTGCAGCTGTGTTTGTCTCCATATGATGAATTAACTCTATTTTACTTCTGTTTTTGGTCTCCACCAACTCCTGAGGGAAATATCTGGCTCTTTAGCTGCTAAAAGCTCCACAATGTTCACCAGCTAATCGCTAACATTGTCCTTCTGACGTTTAATGCTGGGCAGGTAGTGGACAGAGGGTTTATCAGAGATATTTTTCTTAACAACGGCCTGCAAAAAATATGAGTTACAGCTGCTGTAAGTGTTCTAGTTAAGAATTCCTGTAAGTTATCCATGTTTTCTTTTGGTGGGGGGGGATTGAGAAAAATATTATCTGTTCAGAGATTAAGCGCTGCATCCATCCATCTGATGCAGCTGCTTATTCCTAGTCAAGATAATGGATTGTATTGCAGCAAACGCGACTGATAACACACACACACACACACACACACACACACACAGACACACAAATATTCACATCTGCAGGCTCTGTAGGGATTTCAGTTCACCTGACCTGCATGACTTTGAACTGTGGGAGAAAACTGGAACACCCAGAGGAAACTTGCACAAGCTCCACACAGAAAGGACCCTGGATCTTCATGCTGTACCAATGTGCTATACAGAGGTACCACTGAGCTGCTGGGCGGCCCTGAAATGCTGCAATGAAATAATTAGACACTGTCAGGCATGATTTTAATCAATAAAAACATTAATTACTTTCCATCCAATAGTTATATAACGTGTGGACTCAATTTTGGACAATCAAGTGTAGATTTTATATTTAATCTAAAGCACTGAGGCATTGCTTTTCCATAAATGATTGCTCTCAGTGCTGTTAGTAAAGATATGAACATCCCACTGGTGAATTCTTGCACTCTAGCACTCATACAAGCGTATTAACAAGCAGGAAGTACACAGTACACACCGTAGGCACCGCTGACATTCTTTTAACATATGTGAATGGAGTAGTTTGTAGAGTAGATCATAGTGTTCTGACTTGCAGAGTTGATATTTTTGTGCTAAAAGTGTTTTGTGAAAGTCACATGTAATCTACATGACCGTGCCGACCCTCGGCAAGACAAAGCTTTCTTTCTGCACCATAGGAAGAGGAGATGACATCATTCTGTCCATACAAAGACTCAGACACCCCGCTCTTTCTTTGCACTGGTAGAAAAAAAAAAAAAGAAGACATTTCTTTGTATCTGAATTTTTAAGTTTCTTGTCCTAACTTTTAGTACATGTCCTTCAAGTCCTCAGAGTGATGGAACGTCTTTGTGTTAGCTAAATGCCACAGAGTGGAAATGATGCAGCAAGGAAAACACAAGATCTTCCTTATATATAAAATGTTGTTGATTTAAAGGTGAAGATAATACATTTTAATATAAGTTAATGTTACTCAGATAGGACTGTCTCATTAATATTGTGAACATTGCGAACCTCAAGATGGAAATCAAACAGGATTAATACATTTTATAGCCATCAACTCAGTTCACAGCACAGACACTGGTGGTTTCCTGGCTTTAAGTGGTAAACGTGCACTTAGACTTGTCATGTCTTCCTATTTCAGTTCGATAAGCAATACCTCAATAATTACCTTGTGTGTATCTCTGTCTGTTTAGGAAACCTAGGGATACACCGATCATCAGCCACCTTATTTCCCGATAGACTGATGTGAGTTCACCTAGCAGATGGCAGTGAATCTTAGAATCCCTAGAAGCCAACAACATAATGTATGTCCAAGCTACAAAACCTTGAGAGAAACACTTAATGTGGTCACTGCACGACTCCAAATAAATAAAACTGAACCATTGTGCAAAGATAAAACTCAACTGTTTAACAATATTCCACCTGCCCTCAGTGGTATATGTATGGGCTATGGGACTGGGCAGTTCATGTTTGGGATACCATAGTCTATATTCACTCCTCTCACCAACAATGTGTCATGGAGGGACTAAACTGCTTTTTACAGGAATGTGAGCAGCTAATGTGATTGACCATGTAATTTACAGTATTCAATTGAACCACATCTGAAACTGGCAACATATAAAACTCAGAACATTACACTTTTTTTTTTCTTTATATGGTCCACACTTGTGCTTCCCACATTTTCAACCAAACAAGGTTGTTATCATGATGCATTAAGGCGATAAAAGCAACCTTTAGGTAAATAACAGGGACAAGAGACCACACTCAAGAGGTTTTTCCAATAGTGGATATCAGCTCTCAAGGACCCCCTGTGGTCAGATTCATGCACTGCAGGCTGGCTTGGTGGTGTAACATGTTAGTAATACAGTGAATTATTTATGGAATTCTAAATACGCAGGGAGGAGCTGTTACATGGGGTTTGTTTGACCACCTAAAACCATTCATAGGAAGGGATTGGGCAAGTTGGGCAGCGTGGCTTCTAACAAGGTGTGTCAAGTGTGGTTTTAATCTACACAATCAAATATGAGGATATAAACGTTATAACAGGTTAGACTGCCTCTGCTATGCTGTGTCGGTTTGCATTCTCTTTCAGTGTTGCAAGTTCACTTTAAGCCACTGTCTCATTGAGATCCATCCCATCCTGTTGTGTTGCGGCTCCCTCACCACCTTGTGCTGCGTTAGGGTTTTTGATTTTCTGTACACTTTTTGTTTTATTTTAGTTAGCCTGGCAGTACGATTCCCTGCATTATTTTTCATTAGATTGTTTGTTTACATTTGCTGAACAAAATTGATGTCTGTTTAATTTATTTTAGGTAATCCCATGGCAGCGCTTTCCTTATTTGCTGTGGTCTCGGAGCCGGGCCAGAACACAAGCTACGAGCAGCCAGGAATATCACAGAATAAAAAACAACTATCTCATTGTACGCATTAGTACCACCAATATATGCCAGACAGAAAAACAAAAGCTAAATTCCCTCAAAGATCGTAATGATTTAATTATCCCAATTACAGTATTTGTTGCAGTCAGTTCCTTGTGGACTCCTGATAGACTGTGATACTGAGGTGCATATCTTATTGGATAAATTAAAAGTGTAGCGACAAAACTGTTGATTCTTGTTCTCAAACATAAAACAACAAGACAATTCATAAGAAAAATATTATTTATTACACGTTCTAAAGAGAAAATATCCTATTAGAAGTGAAATCTCCCACCAACACAAACAAAACATTCCAAATCAACATACAAACATTCAAAATAAATCCACCAAGTGACAATCCCAAAGAGTTAATATGGCATCTCTTTGAAATTAATTTGGGTCGTATGGCATACATATTCAAATAAAGAGAAAAAACCTGTACTCTGGTTTTTTAATATGTATATAACAACGCTAACTCTCATTCAAGAGCTTCATAATGACTACAGCATACTGCATTTATGAAGAGTAGTCAGTTATGAATATGAATATATAATGAGGAGTGGCTCAAGTAAACTACAACCATGTTTGTCGTTATCGTTAGTAATATTGCTCAGTTTAGTAAGAAGTAGGATTTGCTGGTAAGATAAATAAAGACAAAACATACGGTACTGTTAACAAACCAGTAGCTATACTTCCTTCAAAATATAAATGAAGTTTTTAAAAAAAACATTTGACACATTTGATATGAGTCAGAGACACATTTCTAAGCAGCATGCAATGATCAAAGTATAATTATGTTTTTTTTCTTCACACATGACAATAGTTAGAAAAAGTTACATTGACTAATCTCATTAGACCCTGTTTATAAATGTTAAAGTAATAAATAAGAATCCGTCACCCACTATTTCCTGCTTAAAAATCAAGCATGTAAGGCCTAAGAAGAACGTGCAGTGTAAAAAATCATTCCTTATTAT